AATTCTTTCCTGTCAGAGGAATGGGGAAATGATGGGAGAGCTGGTGAACCAACTGGCTTTTACTTCCTCAACTTCTCCCACTTTTTTCTTTTTTATCTGATCTTCTTCATCCAATTCCACAATTGCTTTTGTATCCCACAAAATCCTGTTATGAATAATCAAATGTTATTGACAAAAAGGCAGAGTGAAAAGTGGAGGGGTCAACAAACTTGATTTTTGTCCTCAAACTTGGTCTTCTATAATTTCCTTTCTGTATCAATCTTAATGATGTCTCTGGCTTAGAGCTATTCATGTCTCAGAATCATTTTCATCTTATTTCAAAATGTTAATACCTCAGAAAAATTTTATCATTCTCTTCTCCTCCCTTTCCCCAGCCCTCAGCACATTAAGAATTGTGGCTAAAAGGTATTTCTTTCAATCTAGCATTCATTTTTGCTATTGTTACATCAATAGCTTTCATTATTTCCTCAGCCTGACTTTAGGTCTTTCCTGTAATAAATGCTTAGATCTCCCATTCCCCTTGCGAAACTATTTTCTCTTAACTCAAAGTGGGTTATTTTGGAAGCATTCTTTAGTCTCACCGGGGTTCAGTATGAGAATCCTCCAAGTCAATAAGATGGCTTGTTTCAGAACAAGATTCACAGTAAAAATGGTCCTATTTTTTTCCTTCTATACCTGCCACCTTGGAAAACCCCAAGGCTGAAAACACCAAAAGTTTATAGCCCTAAAGTAGCAATCAACCCAGTGACTGCCACACTGGATACCACTGGATCCAGCACCTACTTCATAAAGTACATGGAACTAAACTCTGGGCAGCATGATTATGAAGGACATTGCAAAAATGTCCCCTGCCTTTGAGATACCTACAGATCTCCTTCCACAAAGGGGCAAACACTGCCCAAACACCCCCCTCTCTAGATCAACTATCTATCCCCAGAAACTGAAGGGACTTCTCAGTGGTGGGTTTGGTCTGGTTTGTCTGTTGCCTTTTTTTTTTTCATTCCCAGCACTTAGCAAATACTTGTTAATTTGATTTGGCAGTTGATACTCTAGCCAGGCACTGGTCACAGGAAACTAAGGGACCCAGATTTATGCCCTCCCTCTTCTTTCCCCTTCTCTTTGTCCTCCCTTCGTCTCTTCCTCTTACCTCCCTCCTTTCACACACATACAGCATAATACCTTACAAGAAAAGGGTTCCTAAAATGAGACTTGCAGGCTCCCTGCAGCCCAGTATGTATCAGGAACACACTTGCATCCTCCTACTTCATAGAAAACTAAAGAAAAACATATCCCAGAAATATTCTAGCTCATGAGAGAGTTCTCCCTCAGAAGAAAAGTGTCTAGACTCCATTACTGGCCTGTCCAATGAGTTTTGAAACTCAGACTAGTCAGTGCATTCAGTCATCAAGGAGCTAGCTTCCTCCTCCACATCTCCTCTCCACCTCCATAAATAGAGATAACAGTTATAATAATAATAATATGACAGGTGCCATCTAAATAGTGCTTTACAAACATTATTTCATGAAAGCCTCAACACAATTCTGTGATGAAATTACTTCAGGTATTATTATTAGCTCCATTTTACAGATGAGAAAACTGAGCCTCAGAGATATTAAGCAACTCGACTATCACATAAGTGAGGTTTAAATATAGATTTGCCTACTCCATGAATATTACTAAATCTGTGCTGCATACAATCAATTTCAATCATATACTTCTTATCCCAAAGTTCTCAGAAAAGAGCCACTTTCCTGGCTAAATCATATAATTTGGCCCTAGGGGAAGGACAATTCAGTATCATCTAACCTTAGAGCAAGGGAACACCTCAGATGGTGTTGAAACTACTGCAGAACAAATCATTGATGTGAGAACATCTTGTATGTATAAAAATGCTACAGATGCAAACTATTATCATAATATGCTAAGAGAGAACCTGGTATAGTAGACAAAGAGCTGACCTTGGAGCCAGGAAGACCTGAGTTTAATTAAGTCCTTCCCACACATACTGGCTATGTGACCCTAAGAAAGTCTCCCTTACCCATTCAATCTTCTAGCCATTTCTTTCTCCAGTTCATTTTACAGGAAACTAAGGCAAACAGGGATAAGTGACTTGCCTAGGGTCACACAGATAGCAAGTATCTGAGGCCAGATTTGAACTCAACAAATATGAGTCTTCCTGACTCTAGGCCTGCTGCTTTATCCACTGTGCCACCAAGGTGCCCTTCCATTCCTTAGGCATTATCATATTACCCAATCCCATCTGCCTGGCAAAAGGGACTTTTAGAAACCATCTCAGGAACCAAATCCCTCTGTCCACCAGGAGGTGGTGGTGTCTATCCATCTATCCATTTACTATTCCAACAAGTTCAGGGAAATTGTTCAATGGAAAATTCTCTCCCCAAAGAATCTTTTCCCTTATTTAAAAAAAAAGAAAGCATAAATGGATAAATGTAGATGAAAGGGGTGTGTGTGTGTGTAAGAGAATAAACTTTAAAGTGGGATGGAGAACATTAACCAGCTAAGCAGTCACTCATCCCTTTCCAGGTCTCAGTTCCCTTAGCTGCAAAATAAGGGGGCTGGATTTGACAACTGCTAAAGTTCTTTTCAGCTCTAACTACATGATCCTATGCTGTTTCTCACTGCTTTAGAGTGGTACAAATAGTATGCAGAGTGATACACAAACAAAAGCCAAGAAGTCACTTAAAAGGAATGGGGGCAAGAGGTGACTGGAAGACAGAAGTACTGAAAAAACAGAACTGAAAGAAACTTTGTAGCTTGTCTGGTCAACATCCCTCCCCTCATAAATGAAGGAATGGTCTACAGAGGAATGTTCTTTAAAGACTCCCCCTTTCCCAACTTTCCCACAAAAGCTAATCCCAAATTCCAGCTTCTCTAGCTCTGAAGGAGGCCTTTTCCAATCCTCTCCAGTATGCCTTTTCCCTTTTGAGACTACCTCTCATCTACTGTGACTCTATCAATACCTATTTACATACTGTGTCTCCCAAAGGAATGTAAGCTTCTTGAGGGCAGGGGCTACTTTTAACCTTTCCTTCCATGCCCCCTACGACAAACTTAGCACAGCACCAGAAACACAGTAAGGCCTTAATAAATGCTTTTTGATTAATTGATTGATTGAACAAAAGGATCTCCACCTCATTCAGTAAGTTGTCCAACATCTTTAAACAACTCTAGTTGGTGTGGTTAAGGGAAACCAAGAATTATACTTTCTTTTACCCTTAAAGTTTTCATTGGGGGTAGCAGGAAGAGGCTCAGAAAAAAAAATGGTTGATTGCTGGCTTCTGATTTGAAAACGGTGTTATCTTTGGCTCCGAAGGCATTCTCTTCTTTGATCTCCCATCTCCCAATCCCTTGGCCACAGATCAAAACAAGTCATTGCCCAGGGCTCTCTCCTCCCAGGCTAAAGCCTTCCTTCAACTATATTGAATTGGTTTAGGACAGAGAATCTTGGAATTCTGAAGCTACAAAGGATTACAGAAGATCACCTGACCTATCCACCTTGCCTTCAAACAGATGAACTATGCAAGATAGTTAGAAAGATAGAAGTCTAGTCTAAGTAATTCTGGTGGGCTCTTGACACAGAGCACAAGGTGCAGATGAGTATTTGAGCATAGAGCAGGGGCCCTGGTTTCAAATCCTTTCCCCATGTTTGTTACCTGTGTGACTTTGGCCAAGTCATTTTCCTCATTTGTAAAATCATGGGCAGGGGAGGTGGATTACGAGCTGGCCTGGCCTGTAAGGTCCCTTCCAATTCCACATCTAACGTTCTGTGGACAAGTGTCTGGACTATGTGCGTTCACTGATTTGTGTAATTCATTCAGATTGTTTTCTCAGTCACTAAAGCGTACGGTGCGTGAATTCACACACGTAAGTGTGTGCTCCATGTGCCCCTACGCGCGAGTTTATGGGGTTGGGGTAGGGGGCGCAGCGGGAAAAGTGCCTAAGGGTACTTGTGGGTCGTTGTCCTCCGGTGTGCCCGTGCGCAGTGAGATCTACATCTACACCCTTTGTGTGTGTTGGTGTCTGTGAGGACTACGGTTCACGTGCCGAGTGCACACTAGGGGCGGCGAGAGGATGGTGGGGGGAGGGGGTCAGGGAGTTTGCAGCAACATTAGACATCGGGGGACACGCGGACCGCGCTGGAGCTAAAGACCGGCTGGAGGGGGAAGGGGCGGCCGCGGGGGTGGAGCTGGGGCTGTGGGAAAGCCAGTGAGCGAGCTGGGCTTGGCGTCCGCGGGGCTGAGCTGGGAGGGAGCACCCGGGGTAGGCTGGGTGCTGGGAGGGGGACAAGGCTGACGGCGAAATCCGGGACCACCGCTGGAACGGAGCTATATCCGTAGTCAGAGTCAGAGTCAGAGCCAGAGCCTGAGCCTAAGCCTGAGCCTGAGAGTCCGGGCGGCTTAAGCAGTAGCGGCAATAGGGCGCAGGGGGGCCGTGCACGGCCATGCAGTGAGGGCATCTGGGGAAACAGGAGCCGGGACTAAGGGGTGGGGGGAGGGTAGGGGAAGGGGGGACCGTTCTGCAGAAATGTGACTTCAGTGGCGGCTGCTGGAGAAGCGGGAGATTCCGTCCGGCTGTGGGGCTGCCGGTGCAGGGTAAGTGCTATGCGGTTGCAGAGAAAGGGTTCAGCCTAGGCGGGAGAACAGGAATGATGGCGGGGGGGGGGTGAGGCTCTTAAGGCCTCAGAGAAACTTTTCTCCAGCGGGAAGAGCTCTGTGCAGCCTCCCGAATCCCAAAGGGTGTTGATCTCCCTGTGCCGTCCAGGGGCCGCCGCAGGGACTGGGTGAGCCAACCGGAGATGCGGGAAGGATTACTGGGGAGCGGGGAGGAGGCCCCAGTATGGCAGCGTCCGGAGAGGAGCCGCAGAGGGCGGAGCGGGGCCGGGCTTGGGGGTGATTGTCTCGAAAAAGGTGGGGGAGGCTCTGAATATGAAGTGGGGGGCGGGGAACTCCTGCGGAGGAATTGGAGCGGAGGTGAGTTCATTGAAGCTCTAGGAGGAAAGCAGTCAGATAGCCCATCCTTGGCTCACAGGAGGGAGGCATTCTTGGCCTTCATTGAAAACCAGTGCCTGGCCCGCACCTGCAGAAGGAAGGCTCTTGCGGGACGTGCTCTGCACCGTTCAGAAGGGAGACATTGCGGACCCGAGAGAAGTGGAGAAACGGGTCATAGAACAGCAGGAAACCGGGGCTGGAGACGGACTAATGCAGAATTGGAGAAGAAAGGGGAAAAAGCCGAGCTGGAGGCTTTAGGAACTGTCATGATCAGAAGAGCACCTTGGGGATGTGTCGAGGAGAGTTTTAAGGAAGGAGGTTGTAAGGAGACTGCAGCCTACAGTCCGGGCTTGCGGGCTGGCGGCAGGTTGCCAGAGCCCCGAGCCCAGAAAGACCTGGGTTTAGGAGTGGGGAGAAGGTTAGAACTCAAACATGTGTGGCTGTCTTCTCAGTTTTTTTGGTGTTTTGTTGTTTTTCGGGTTGTGTGTGTGTGTGTGCGCGCGCGCGCCTCTCCAGATAACTAAAGAAAGAGAACGATTGCTAGATGGGGGAGGGGGGAGAGTAAAGACTTAGGGGAGAGAAAGAGAAGGGGGGAGGGAGAGAAGAGACCTAGAGAAGGTCATTGAATACGATAGTACATCTGGCTGAAGAATACCGTGTCTGGGAAATGTTTGCCTGCAGTGGGGGAGGTCGGGACATTTATGGGGGAGGGAGAGAGTACTAGCCAACCTCAGCTTCTCAAAAAATCCTGCTCTTTTGCAGGATTGTTGACCCCAAGGACCCCCACCATCCCCTGCCAACTCAGTTATACGTCGCTGTTCAGCTCCCCAGGTTTGGGGCGGAGAGAGATATGTGGGCCAGAGTCCAATGCGGTTTCACTCCTTCCCGCTCCAGCTCTTTAAAGTTCCATTAAATGGCTCTAAAGAACCTGTGAATATAGCTGATATTCTCTTTGGATGGACCCTAGGGTGGTCAGGTCCTTTGACTCCTCCATGTATTCCGTCTCCTTAACATTTCTTGGGAAAGCTTCTCTAAGCCAGAAGGAAAAGCACGGAAATTGATCAATATTTGCATTTCATTTGCATCCAGCCTCTGGCCTATACTTGGGGGCTGGGAGAATCCCTAGAGATGATTATCTCTGAAACCAAGAGAAAACTTGCCTTCCTGCCACCGAGCACAATATTCCAACTATCCTTTGACCAGGGCAGAGTACAGTGGGGCTCTCAGTCATAAGATTTTGAAAGAGCTGGCTTTCCTGCTTTTGATCTTAGAGATCGTATTTTAGTCAGTCCAGTGCCTTCATTTTGGAGCTCTGAAGCTCTTGAGAAGTTAAATGACGCCCAAGGTCAAAAAGACATTAGCTGTGCCAGGGTTTGATCCCACATCCTGGAACTCCAAATTCCATGCTATTTCCATAACACTAAACTACCTTACTAAGTGTCCTTTGGGATGTAGAGAAAGGAGGCATTCAGGCCCAGCACTTATTCCTTAGATTATCTTGAAAGTGACACAGAAATCAGAGAAAACAGCCACTATGTGAGTTCTAATCATCTCCCTGCCTAACCTCAGTCTCTTTTAAAAAAGACCCTCAACCAATGTTTATTGGATAGGCGGGAAGGAGTAGTGGATAGAGTTGGCCTTGTATATAGCCAGGAAAGGCCCCCTTCAGGTGTGTGACCTGTGGCAAATCACTTAACCTCCTCTCTGTTCAATGGGCCCCTGAACCTGACCCATAGCACCTAAGAGTCAGAGGGGATTTTTTTAAAACTGGGGGGAGGAGAGGAGGAAAGAGGTGTTGGAAAATTAGAGGAAAAGGGTCTACATATTTTGATTGGAGGCAGTCAAATAGTATGCAGTATGATATGCAAATTTGAGTCTTCTTATTGAGTCAGCAGTCCCTAACCCATTTTGTATTCGAACCACTGTGCAAATTGTGCTTCCTCTCTATTCATAGCCCTGGGGCTTAAGTCAAAAGGGATGATACTGTATACTAGAGCCAGGTGGAGTGTTGGATGCCCAGCTAGAAGGGAAGTGAAGAAGGATGGCACTTAGAGGGGGAAGTAAGGGGAAAAGGTAGAGAGTAAAAAGAAATATCAGCACTTTGAGGCACAGATGTTAAAAAGTGTTTCAGAAACTATATGCTAAAGATCGTGAGGAATTTTCCATCCAATGGCAGACTATTATATAACAGGAGGACATATTTTCTGCAATTTGTCCCTTGTTTCTGCTTCTGTTAAGACCTGAAGCTCCCCAGGAGTCTGATATACTTCAAAGCAATCCTGAGTAGCTATAGCAGTGGACTGGGAGAGGTAGGTAGTGATTTTATTCAGACTTGCATCACTGCCTCCTCACCGCTCTGTGCCAGTTGGCTTGGTGTCTGGATACAAAATTAATGGGCTTAAATCTCCATCATCTGAGGAGGTGCTGGTTGGCACTAATGGGTGATGTACAGACAAAGATATATTAAGCACCAATGTTTGAGCACCTCTGACTCCAGCCTGACTGATTCTTGCCCTTCCCAAAGTGTGCTGGATGGATCTGATAGAAATCCTGGACCTAGATACCGTGTTACAGGTTATTTAGAACAAATTAACATCTCCTCTCTGAACTATCATAACTGCAGTTCAAAATTGGTAGAATTTTCTCTTTCACAGCCTAGGGAAACCAGCCAGCCCTGAATGAATTGGTCTGGAATATCATTTGCATTTAAATGATTGCTTTTATTTACAGGCTCTAGGCTATTTTGCATATTCATGGAGACATTCTCACAACTGTATTTACATACCGAAAGAGATTTCTTTGGTGCTAAATCTAGGAGTTGAGTAGGTTAGGCTTTGCCTACGTTTGAGATAAATTGGTTGTGAGGAAACTAAGAAATGAATGGTAGGAAAGGGTGTAACAAATTCTTCTGGTGATTCAGCCCAGCTATTTGTGCCCTAAAGTCTTTTGCTGACTGTTATCTACCATGACAAGTAAAGACTAAAACCACAGGACTGATGTGGTAGATGAAAACACGGGGCCCTCTGGAGGAGAGATCCGTCTCAACTCTTTGTTCTTTCCCTGGAGAGCTGGTGCTTTGGGGGTTGGTGGTTTGGGGAGCTTACTATTCACTACTAAAATTTCAGCCAAGTAAAATCAACAGGCATTTATTAAGTACCCATTATGTATGCCAAGGATTGTGCTAAGTGCTGAGGATACAAAGAAGGCAAAAGACAACCCCCTTGTTCTCTTGGAGCTCAGAATAATGGGGGAGACAATATGCAAACAGCTATGTGCAGGCATGCTATATAGAGGGTAGAATGGAGATAATCTCAGAGGGAAGGCGCTAGCACAAAGTGTGATCTGGGAAGGACTTCTTACAGAAAGTAGGACTTTTGCTAGAACCTGAAGGAATTCAGGAGGCAACAAGAACACTCTGGAGTATAACCTTCTTGACTGGGGGGACTATTTTGTATCTCCAGCACCTAGCACCTCGGATTATAGATTTAGAGCTGGAAAGGACATTGGAGAGCAATATACAAATAAGGAAACTGAACTGAGAGAAGTTAAGTGACTTCCCCAAGGTCACACAGCTAATGTCTCAGCTGGGATTCAAAACTGCTCTCCCTGACTCCAGCACCTGGCATATAGTAAGCTATTAACAAATGTTAATTGAAAGAAGGACTTTTGTTATTGTTGTTCAGTCTCGTTGTATCTGACTCTTTGTGACCCCATGGACCAGCATGCCAGTACTGCCCACGAGGTTTCCTTGGCAAAGATACTACAGTGATTTTTCCTGACTCCAGACCCAGTATTCTATCCACTGATCCCCTAGCTGCCTCTAGGCCTTTAATCAAGGCTTAAAATACTCCCTTTTTGAATGGGGCTGAGGATATCGGGCTTAAATTGTCTCATTGACTGCTAGTGAACTAGGAATCAAGAGATTTGGATTTTAGCATTTGTATTCTGTCTCTGTCTAGCTGTGAGATTTACAGTGACTTCCCCTCAGTTTCCTCTTAATCCTTGGTAATCAATAAACATTTATTAAATACCTACTACTACCAGGCACTGGTACCAGGGATACAAAAAGGAGGCAAAAGACAGTCACTCCCCTAAAGAAGATCATAATCTAATGATAACATCCTTTCCTTACTGGATCATTGGGACGAACAATATGATAGAACTTTGAAAAAATTTTAACCACTTTAGAGATTCGGGGAACTGTTATCTCTTATTGTTAAGTATGTCAAAGCTTAAGAAAGAGGTCCAAAACCTCACTTTTCCAAACTAGGCATTAAAAGTGTGGTTTCAGCTCTTTAAAGAATTAGGGCTTTTTCTAACTTGGAGCAGGAATTCATGGTCCTAGGAGGACACATGGCTGAGCTGGGAACTATGCCTATTTTGCTCCAGGTAAAGAATTCATCATGCTTTTTGGGGGAAAAGCCTCTCTGGAGACAACACTTCTTTAGCTTGGATCAGTATCACTTATTGGGAAGAAGGGACCTAGCATATAGACATTTAACCTGACTCCAGTACTTGTTTCTTAAGAGAAAGCCGATATCTGGCTTCTGTGACTGTTATTCTGGGTGGTTTGGTCTAAATCAAGTGTTCTTAACCATTTTTGTGTCCTGGGACCCTTTAGCAGTCTGGGGAAACATGCAGGACTCTGTTAGAATGTTTTTGGTTTTGATTTTTAATTGAAAGAAATGCTAAATTTCAGTTAGAGGTTAGTGAAAATAAAGATGTAATTTTTTTCCCCATCCAAGTTCATGGACCCATGAAATCTATCCATAAACCTTCTATGAACCTGAAGTTAAGAGGTCTTTTTCTAGACATGGAGGGGTGACACTGTGCGTTATCCTAGGATGCTATATATTTATCTAGATAAAGACATAGCTATGTCTTCAACGTAGAGAATACTTAGAAGAGAGCTTTTGTGGTCCCTACGGACCTGAAAGACGATTTAGGGACCATCTAGTTCTTATCTAAGAGGGAAGAAAATTGGGAGATTAAAGCATGAAGAGATAACACTTGAACTCAGTTCCTCTGAATCCAGATCCAAGACTTTTCCTGCCATGCCACCGTAAGAGAACACTGGACTTGGAGTTGGGGAAGCTGAGTTTGAATCCAAGTGTCCATACTAATTTTGGGGCCTTGGGCAATTCACTTAATCTTAGTTTCAGTTTCCCCACTCCCTAAAATGGGTATAAAAATAATTAGCCATGCTTCTGAGGATTGTTTAACCTTAAAGTGCTATGGAACTATATTTTAATAGTTCATTGAGCTAATATCTATAATGTTTAGCGTAGTGCTTGGCACATCGTAGGTACTTATTAAATGTTCTTCTCATCACTTAACCCTATTTGCCTTAATTTCCTCATTTGTAAAATGAGCTGAGAAGGAAGTGGCAAGCCACTCTAATAGCTTTATCAAGATTCC